GGCTCACGGTGAATCCTGGGGGGGGGGCCTGGGGCCTCCCGCGGCCCGGCGAGGGCCTCTCGAGGCCCAGAGAGCGGCGAGAGGCCCGCCCGGATGTTCTCGACGCGCGGGAGGGCTGAGGGCCGCGCCTGCCTGGCGGGGCCGCCCCGGCACTGCTGCCCGCCCGCGCCGCGGCGCCGCCCAGCGAGCTCATGGGCCGGTGGAGGGAGCGCCCTCCGTGCTGTCCGTGGTCTATCGACGAGCGCGCTCCACGACTCGCAAGGTAGCTGCTCGCAATTGGCCTGGATCCCCCGCGGGGGACCTCTACGAGGAATTGCATCGAAGCAGACGTGTGCGTGTTTCGGGGATTTGCGAGCAGGCACTCGGCGAGCAGTGGAGCGCGCTCGGTGAGTCTATAAGTCCCAAGCGAGGCATCCGATCCGAGGGGTCGGTCGTTGCAGGTCCTGCGGCGCGCCTCCTGCCCCAAACCTTCGGTGTGTCGGCGCGGCGCACGGACACGCTCGGCCCAAAGCCCTCGAAGATCCAGGATCGGCAGCAGCAGTGAAGGGGCCCCAGGACACACAAATAAATACACACAAATAAAAATATTCTCCATATTTTCCCATATTTTCTGGGTTTTTGTCTCTCCCCCCACTGCCCATATTTTCCCGTATTTTTCCGGGGATCGACGATTAATTGTGTCTGTGTGTTTCTTCCCCTCCTGAAGCAGATCCATCGGATCGGATATCTCGTCGAGGCTCGATCGTCGGGCACCGGGGTGCCGGGCGTGGAGCTGAGGCTTAAGGGCCAGCTGGGAGGGGGGGTCGAGGCGAGCGCGCGGCAACGCCGGGAGGGGGGGCCCTCGGGGGCGGATTCTGAGTGCATGGGCGGAAGAGAAGGCGGAAGAAGGGAGGAGGGTGGAGGAGGAGGAGGAGGAGGAGGAGGAGGAGGAGGAGGAGGAGGAGGAGAGTGCAAGAAGGGAAGGAAAACACGGGAGAAGGAGGAGGAGGAGGAGGAGGAGGAGGAGGAGGAGGACGGTGGAGCAGGGCAGGCAAGAAGGGAGGAGGAGGAAAAAGAGAAAGAAGAGGATGGAGGAGGAAGGAGCAAGGAGCGAGGAGGAAGAGGATGGAGGACGGAGGAGGGAGGACGGAGGTGGGAGGACGGAGGGGTGGACGGCAAGCTAGGTGCGCTGGCGTCATATCTGACGCCTACCCCTCCCTCCCATCCCTTACCATGGCGCTGATTTTCTCTATCCGCGGACGCGTGTCGTAGCGGACTTGTGGCTCCGCGCGCGCGTGCGTAGTGGGTGGTGGTGCGCGTGCGTGCGTGCGTGCGTGCGTGTGTGTGTTGTGGTGGTGGGTGGTGGTGGTGGTGGTGGTGGTGGTGGTGGTGGTGGTGGTGGTGGTGGTGGTGGTGGTGGTGGTTGCGGTGGTCGTGGTGATGGTGGTGCTGGTGGTGGTGGTGCTGGTGGTGGTTGTGGTGGTGGTGGTGGTGGTGGTGGTGGTGCGGCGCGGTGGTGGCGGGCGGATGGGCGCGCGAGCAGAGGCCCGCGCTGGGGCGAGAACGCCATCCTGAACGACGGAGGCCAAACACCGATCCGAAAATGAGGCCCACGCTGCAGCGGGAGCACGATTCGGAACGATCCGGGAGCAGAAATGAGGCCGGCGCCTCAGCGAGAGCAGCATTTTGAAAAAAACACAAGCGAAAACCCGTTTCCCGGGAATCCTGTGTATAAAAAACAATACGCGGGGGGGTGTCGGATATCTCCAGGACGCCATCAGGGGAAGTGGGAGAGAATTTTCATATTGTGTAATTGTAGAAGGGAGTACGGAGGAGAGAGGACCGAGGAGCCAGGAGAGAGGAGTGACGAGACAAAGGCGGGGCGAAAAGGGAGGAGGAAGCTATGGAGGTCGGAGAGGAGTGTGGTGGAATGGGGTGTGGTGCACATGCCGAACATTACGATGTTGCTACGATAGCCACATGCGCGATGCATCCCGATTTCAACAACGTTGGCTTTACGTCTGCCGCTTCGAACAAAGTCAGACTATATTAGTTCATTTCCCCAAGCGACCGTCATCCAATCTGAACGGCGACCAAAATGCCCATTGCATGACGCCTTATCGCCAAGCACGCGAATCCGGAGATGCCAGAAGTTCTGGAATTCATGTTTGCGATTCTGGAATTTCCAGAACGTCGTTTCGGAATTTCCAGATCATGGTTCGCAGTGAAACATTACGATATCTAAACTCTTGAATTTTCAGAACTGCATTTCTGGCGATACGGGATTTCCAGAATCACGCTTCCCGCGATTCGGAATCTCCGAAATTGTGAGCTTGGTGATCGGGCGTCCTGGAATAGGTGTCTGTGTTGCTGTTAACACTCAACTGCGGTCGCTCGGGGAAGCTGGAATTGGGAATTCTGACGTTTTTTTTGAGGCGGTCGGCGCCAAGCGAACGCTTTTGACATCGGGGTGCAACGCACTTGCGGCTATCTGAGCTTGGTCAGACCGCGTCCCACTTCAAGTCTTAAGTCGGGCCTGTCCTCCTACAGGGGGATTTCGGACTAAAAATGAAAAATAGTCCAGAAATGCCCAAAATATGCCCAAACATAATTATATATATATATACATACATGTAGATAAAAATCCCCATACTATGTTTTGACTATTTTTGAACATTCCCCCTGTAGAGGGACAGGCCCGACTTAACTTAGCCAGACTGCGTGCGCTGCAGCTGATCGTGGGGGGCTTCCCCAGCCTGGCTCGGCCAACATGCAAGGCCAGGCCACATCCCGGGCCGCGAGCGGCTCCCTACTGACAGTGGAGGCCGGTCCACAAAGAAGCCCTCCACAAGAAGCCCAACCCTGAGACCCCAGGACGTTCATTGACTTTTTTGGTGTGCGAAGAACGTCACGCTCTCCCTCGCAGAACCCTTCGAAACCCGAGAAGCCAAGGGCCGCACCCTGGAGTCCTGGAGGCAAGCTGGGTGTTTCTTGGCATGGGGCTCCACTGCATTCTGGCTCAGCCACACTCTGCCTTCCCAGGGCCCTGCATAGACGAGCGCGCTCCACTGCTCGCAAAGTGACTGCTCGCAAATGGCCTGGATCCGCCGGGGGAGATCTACGATAAACTACATCGAAGCAGACATCTGTTGCTCGCACGTTTGCGAGCAGGCACTCTGCGAGCAGTGGAACGCGCTCGGTGAATATGACTGGCAGAGCCGCCGAAGCCCGAGAAGCCCAGGGACCCTGGAGTGATGGAGGCAAGCAGGGTGCTCCTTGCCATGGGCCTCCACTGCACTCCGCCTCGGCCACGCGCCGCCTTCCCAGGGCCCTGCAGGCTCCGGCGCTCCGGCCCAGTCCCACGTGCCTCTGAGCCCCGTGGCCCGCCGGCCGCGGATGGGGGGGCGAGGCCGAGGAGCGGAGCCGGCCGCGGCGATCGGGGCTCCGCCGCCCCGGACACGGCCGATGCCACGACTGCAGTCGTCGTGCTGCAGGCCCCGCAAAAAAATAGGGCACACTCATGCCGCATTCATCTGTGAACGCCTCCCCTTCCCCCCAAAGTTCCAAGTTGGCGGTGGGTCTGATGAGTTGCACCTCGACCGCAGTCTCCCCCGCGCGTGCCAACTTTGAGCTTGGGGGGCCGGGGGATTGTTCACTACTTGTGTCCCTCTACCGTTCGGTGGAGGTTTTCGATAGGGGCACCTTCGAGAAGGAACCCAGGGCCTCGCGACCGATGGGCGGCCAGACGCCGGCCACCCACCTCGCCTTGAAACGAGAAGGGATGCGCCAGGGGCCTGGGCCCCCGGAAGGCGCTCCTCATCCGTTGCCGCCGCCGCCGTGCGGACCGCCGATCCAGGAGCCAGAAGGGGCCTGCTGGCCACGGCGAGCCTCGGCCACGAGTCGGCTCCTCGACCCCGATCTGCGGGGCGGCCCGAGCGCCAGAGCCCCTCCCTGCGCCCGAGGTGGCCCCTGCTGCAGCGTGCTGGCTGCAGGGACACCTCGGGGTGAGATGCCGGGGCCCGAGATCGCGGCGCCGAGCGGGGGGCGTGCGAGGAAGCCGGGGCGTGCGAGGAGGAGGAGGAGGAGGAGGAGGAGGAGGAGGAGGAAGAGGAGGAGGGGGAGGAGGAGGAAGAGGAGGGAGGAGGAGGAGGAGGGAGGAGGAGGAGGAGGAGGAGGAGGAGGAGGAGGAGGGGAGGAGGAGAGGAAGGAGGAGGAGGAGGAGGAGCGGAGGAGGAGGAGGAAGAGGAAGAGGAGGAGGAGGAGGAGGAGGAGGAGGAGGAGGAGGAGGAGGAGGAGGGCGAGGGCGAGGGCGAGGGCGAAGGCGAGGGCGCGGAGGAGGACGATCTGGGCCGCTTGGTGCGCATCTGCCTCGGGCGGTCCTCGGCGGTCTTCGGTGGCCGCCGGGCGGTGTGCGGCGGTCTCTCTGGCGGTCTTCGGCGGCCTCCTGGCGCTGCTCGGCGGTCTGCGTCGGGTTCCGGCGGTCTTTGGCGGCGTCCTGCGGTGTTCGGCGCGAAGGCCGGACGGTTGCGGTTCACGAGGGGTCCATGATCGAACACCTACGGAAGTGACAGGGGGCAGGCCTTCTCGAAGGCGGCGGGGCCTCTCTGAAGCCCACCAGCCATCTGAGGAGCCCTCGGTGGCTTCGGAGACGGCTTGGAAAGCTTCTCGGAAGACCGTGGGCCTTCTGAGCCTTCTCTTCGCTTTCCCGCCTGGGCGCGCCACAGCCTCGTCTTCGGCGCATCTGGCAGAACCTCACGGAAGACCAGCGGCCGGCGGAAGGCGGCGAGGTAAAGCGGCGGCAGGTCCACCGGCGGACGCCAGCGGAAGGCCGGCGGAAGACGGCGGCAGCAAGAGTGAGACGTCACCAAGTTTGGATCCCGGGTTCGGGGGGTTTTCTCCCGCCGCGGCGGGCAGGGCCGCGCGGCCGCGCGGGGGTCCAGGCGGCCCTGCGCGCGCGCACGGGGCCCCCGCAGGCGCCAGCGGGCCGCCGCCGCGGGGTGCGGCGGCGGCCTCCGGCGCGGCGGTCGAGGGCCGCGCGGCGGGCTGGGCGGCCGCCTCTGGCGGCGCTGGGGCCTTCCCCAGCAACTGCGCGGGCACCGCGCGCGCGCGCCCCGCTCCTGGGCTGGCTGCGGGCGGCAGCGCTCCCTCCGCGCCGGCGGGCACGGCCCACAGCAGCCACGCCGGCAACGAGGCCACGGCCAGGGCCATGAGCCAGGGCGTGCGGTAGCTCCCGGGCTCCTCCGCGCCATCGGCGGCGCGCGAGGCCGCCACGCCCAGCGTGGTCATGAGCAGCGTGGCGGTAGCGCTGAGCACCTTCTGTATGGCGGAAGCGTTCGCGAGCTGCTCCGCGGGAACCGAGGCCACCAGCAGGGCGTTGGCGGAGAGCGTGGTGACGAAGTGGCCAGCGGCCTGCAGGCAGATCTGCAGCTCCAACAGCGTGAAGAAGGCGGCTCCCTGCTCCAGCCTCGCGGTCACGTTGATCACGACGTACGCGGCGAGGAGGACTAGGCTCCCGGCGCGGGCCAGTGACAGCCTCTCAGCGGTGCCTCCGCCGCCGCTTCGGCGGAGGGCACACGTCATGGCGGCCGAGGTGAGCATGGCGGTGAGCGGCCTCGGCACGAGCAGCCCGCTGATGCGACCTGGGCCCATGCCCAGACCGTCCTGGAGGAACAGCGGCAGCAGTAGCAGGGTGCTGCCATAGCAGCTGGACGCCGACATCAGCACGAGCAGCAACGTCACTGGGACTCTGCCTGCGAACAACCAACTTGGGATGACCGGATTCTCGGCGAAGCGCTCCTCGCGGGCCAGTGCAAAGAAGAGCAGCACCGACGCCAGCGTCAGGCCGACGACCGTGGGGCTGCTCCACCCGAGGTCGTTGCCACGGTTGAGCGCCAGGAGAAGGCAGAGGCTCGCACCCGCGAAGCACGAGGCGCCCCGGACGTCGAAGCGGAGCAGCTCGGCGCCTCCCTGGGCCGCCGTGCGCGGGATCAGCAGGCCTAGCGAGAGCAGCCACAGAAAGGCCATCGGCACCGCGGGCAGCAAGAACACCGCGCGCCAGGAGAAGCGCGCGACGGCGGCGCCGCCGGCCAGCATCCCGATGCTGCTGCCCAAGGTGTCGGCCGTCATTACTGTGGAAGCCACCGCGCCACGCTCGGACGGAGCCAGTCCCTGCGCCAGGAGCGCCAGGCTCGGCGCGAAGATCCCGGAGTGCGCCGCTCCGGTGGCGGCCCGGGCGACGAGCAGCGCGGGCAGGGACGGCGCCAGAGCGGCGAGCCACGTGGAGCAGGTCAGCAGCAGGAAGGAAGCGTGCCAGACGCGCTCGCGGCCGTGCATGTCCGCGAGCTTGGCCACCGGGGGGCCCGTCATCGTGGCCGCGAAGTTGCCCGCGAGGTGGACCCAGGCTGCGAGCTCCAGCGACACCCCGAACTCGGCCGCCACGGGCGGGATGCACAGGGCGATGGCGCTGACCTCGAACCGCGCGAGGAACACGGCCGCCAGGCAGACGCAGCTCTGCGCGCGAGACGCGACCGGGGCGCACCCTTCGGCCCCGGCCTGGTCACCTCCGCCGGCCTTGGGCGCCGCGCCCGACGCGCCCGCGAGGCCTTCCACGATGCCGCCTTCCTCGGCCGACGGGGCGGCCGCCCGCCGAGCCTTGGCGGGGTCGGCTGCGGGCCCGCACGGGGGCTGCGCCGCCATCGGCGGCCCCTGGCGCCCGCGAGCGTGCGCGCTCGAGTCAGCTGCTTTGGCTGTGCGCGCTCGCCGTAGCCAAAATGGCTACGGCGACTCTGGATCCAGGGGTTGGGGCCGGTCACGGTCTGGGCCCAGGGACTCGGGGCGAGCTGAGGCTCGAAATTCTGGCACCTCGCGCGCGCGATGCCGCGCGGAGGCCCGAGGCCGATGGGGGGGACCCTGAGTGAGTACTACATAGACCCACGTCCCCGCGAGCCTCCGAATCGCTCGTATGGTATTTGGTGCCACGGATGGTGGGCCTCCGGGCGGCCTGTGTCAGGGCTGGTGGGCCTCCGAGAAGCCTCCGTGGGCCTCCGAGGCCCTCTTGCAGGAGACCGCGGTCGCATGGATCCGGTTGCGACTGGCGTCGACGACGCCCAGAAGGCCTTGGTGAGAGACCAAAGACCAGTACGCCAGCAGGCAGAGAAGGGTTGTGGACGGCATCAATGCGAAATTTGGCTGTCGAGGGTTTACGCAAAGGTCTCACCAAGCGCTTCGATCGTATGGTCGAAGCCACGAGCGGCCGCGTATCCAAATGAACGGTTGAAATGATCATTTCGACGGATCAGGGATCGCAAGGATCGGAAAGCATCAGCCAAAACAAAGTTTCAAGTTCGACTTAACCCCGGTCAGTACTGGACTGGGACGCTTCGCATCGCCACTTCTTGAACGAAGGCCTCCCACATGGAATCCGAGCAGATGGGGCTGGAGGATCGCGCCGCTGACTCCCCTCCCTGGCGCGCGGAACGCGCCAAGGGCGGCGCCAGAGGAGCCGCGGGGGGGAGCCAGCGCGGATCCGAGAACTCCGCGCGGAGCGCCGAAAGTTTTTGTGTATGGCGCTTCTTCTTATTATTCTTCTCAGCACCAGAATCACAATTATTAGCATTATTCTTATTCCCCATATCCTAAGATGGGGTTCTTGTTATTACTTGGACGCCTCCTAATGCCTCTCCCTCCTCCTCTTTCCTCCTCCCCTCCTCCTCTTTCCCCATACTCAGACCTACTCATACTCAGACTTACTCATACTCAGACTTACTCATACTCAGACATACTCATACACAGACTTACTCATACACAGACTTACTCACACCCAGACGTACTCATACACAGACTTACTCATACCCAGACTTACTCATACACAGTATTACTCATACTCAGACTTACTCATACCCAGACGTACACATACACAGACTTTCTCATACACAGACCTACTCATACCCAGACTTACTCATACACAGACTTACTCATACACAGACTTACTCATACTCAGGCATACTCATACTCAGACCTACTCATACTCAGACTTACTCAACACACATCAGATTTGGAGGATGTCTCAAGCGGGGCGCTGGTTTCAGCACCCCTAAGGGGAGCCGCCAGGGGTGTTTGCACGGGCTCGTTCGCGGCCATTTTGTAAGGATGTCTCAGGCGGTTTGCTTGTTCCCCATATCCTAAGATGGGGTTCTTGTTATTACTTGGACGCCTCCTACTCCTCCTCCTCCCTCCTCCTCTTTTCTACTCCCCTCCTGTCGGACATACTCAGACTTGCTCATACACAGACTTACTCATACTCAGACTTACTCATACTCAGACCTACTCATACTCAGACTTACTCACACTCAGACATACTCATATACAGACTTACTCATACACAGACTTACTCATATACAGATTTGGAGGATGTCTCGAGCGAGGCGCTCATTTCAGCACCCCTAAGGGGAGCCGCCAGGGGTGTTTGCACGGGCTCGTTCGCGGCCATTTTGTGGGGATGTCTCAGGCGGTTTGCCTGTTTCTGGGCCCAACATCCTTCGCTTTCGGAGCAGATTTGGAGGATGTCTCGAGCGAGGCGCTCATTTCAGCACCCCTAAGGGGAGCCGCCAGGGGTGGTTGCACGGGCTCGTTCGCGGCCATTTTGTGGGGATGTCTCAGGCGGTTTGCCTGTTTCTGTGCCCAACATCCTTCGCTTTCGGAGCAGATTTGGAGGATGTCTCGAGCGAGGCGCTCATTTCAGCACCCCTAAGGGGAGCCGCCAGGGGTGGTTGCACGGGCTCGTTCGCGGCCATGTTGTGGGGATGTCTCAGGCGGTTTGCTTGTTTCTGTGCCCAACATCCTTCGCTTTCGGAGCAGATTGTGAGGATGTCTCGAGCGAGGCGCTCATTTCAGCACCCCTAAGGGGAGCCGCCAGGGGTGGTTGCACGGGCTCGTTCGCGGCCATTTTGTGGGGATGTCTCAGGCGGTTTGCTTGTTTCTGGGCCCAACATCCTACGCTTTCGGAGCAGATTTGGAGGATGTCTCGAGCGAGGCGCTCATTTTCACCCCCCAGGTGGGCCAGATTTGAGGATGTCTCGATCGGTTTGCTTGTTTTGGTGGCCAGGCTCGTGGGCGCAGATTCTTCTCAGGATGCCACAGGAGGCTCCAACAGGCTCCAGGAGGCCCCAGGAGACCACATGAGGTCCCAGGAGGCATCAGGAGGCCACAGAAAGACTCAAGAGGCCACAGGATGTCCCAAGAGGCTCCAGGAGGCCCCAGGAAGCTCCAGAAGGCCTCAGGAAACCACAGGAGGCCCCAGGAGGCAACAGGAAGCGCCAGGAGGCCTCGGAAGGCAACAGGAGGCCCCGAGAGGCCCCAGGAGCAGGAGGCCTCAGAAGGCAACAGGAGTGGCTCCAATCCCATGTGTTTTACGTATGCTCCTATCGATTGGGCCTCACCTGGAGCACGATTCTTTGATGTTTACGTATGTTTCTATAGATGGTCCTTCTCCTGTGTACACAATCCTAAATGTTTTACTCATGTTACCTATGTATTGGGCCTCTCCTGGGGCACGAGTCCTTGGTGTTTTACGCGTGTTCCTATAGATTGCCCTTCTCCTGTGGCTCTAATCCGCAATGTTTTAGGTACGTCTGTTGCTATAGATTGCGCCTCTCCTGGGGCACGAAACCTTCCTAGGAGGTCCCAGGAGGTCCCAAGAGGCTCCTGGAGACCCCAGGAAGCCCCAGTAGGTTTCAGGAGGCCCCAGGAGGCCCCAGGCTCATGCACAGAGACGCGCTCGTACTACTGAGGCTCCTTCACACTCCAATTCATTCGCAAATAGATTTATGTCCAGACCGTCACAACTGAAGCCCGTTAATATTCGAAGCTCTTGCGGCCTAGACATTCACGCTCGAACAGTCCCCACTCGAGTAGGATGCACATATGGGGAGCTCCACGCAGTGAAAATTTCCTTTCTTCTGGCTCAACATCCTTCGCTTGGGACAAGATTGTGATGTGTTACTCAGGCGGGGGGGCGGCTGTTTCAGCACCCCTAAGGGGGGCCGCCAGGGGTGTTTGCACGGGCTCGTTCGCGGCCATTTTGTGGGGATGTCTCAGGCGGTTTGCTTGTTTCTGGCTCAACATCCTTCGCTTGGAGAGCAGATTGTGAGGATGTCTCAGGCGGGGCGCTGGTTTCAGCACCCCTAAAGGGAGCCGCCAGGGGTGTTTGCACGGGCTCGTTCGCGGCCATTTTGTGGGGATGTCTCAGGCGGTTTGCTTGTTTCTGGGCCCAACATCCTTCGCTTGGAGAGCAGATTGTGAGGAT